CTTCTCTTCTCTTCTCTTCTCTTCTCTTCTCTTCTCTTCTCTTCTCTTCTTACCTTAGAAGTACTTTTCTTGCCTGAATATTTCTTCTAACGACTTGTTGAGTTTTTTTAATCTAAAGTTATACTAATTTCAATCAAATCTTAATAGGTGCTGTGCGCCGTTATTGCTAGGTTACGGTTACACTAATGGCCTAGCTAGATAAATATTATAATCATTGCATAAGAGATTAGAAAAATTAGTTATAATAGTAATGTAAAGTCTAGTGATTCATATGATTGAATAAACTATCCGGGTTTCGTTTCGTTCCATTTCAACTTTTCTTTTTGCATTTTGTTCAATCCTAGCGGTGTRCGTTAGGTGTGTGGTGAACGAGAGCACTGATCGATAAGGCGGATTGCTTGCGTACCATGCTATTTACTGGTGAAAGCCCAGAACTATATAGAAAAAACAGAATGAACCGGAAACGAGAAATCATTTGGTGAAGAGTACCTGAAGATTTTGAAACCATACGTTATTCTGGCTTTGAAATGGCTTCCAATCAATCACTCCCAAACTTCGTACAAGTCATAAAACGGAAGCCAATTGAGTGTCCCTATCAGTGACATTTTTTCAATACTATATGGGCAGCCATTTTATTGCGCATCTTCGAGCGTTTTTCCCCCTTCTTTTGTCTTTCTTTTTTCTTTGGTATTACATGACATTTCAATCATATTTTGGAACTGAGAAGAGAACTGCAAATGCTTCTAGCTGTATAAACAAGAAAAAAAGAAAGGAATATTTTTCCCTGCCTTTTTCTGTCATCCTGAACATATATTTTGTCCTGAACATATTAAGTTTTGCGCCAAATTTCTTCAGAAATACACGACCAACTGTGCCAGCTCTGCATTTGTATTGGAAAGCATCCCAGAGCTTTCAAAACAACAACAACCAAAAAATACATTTAAGTTATACTTTGGACACTTAATATATTATCTTTACATTGGACCAAAATCAAGTTATAGATAGAAATAATAATTCCACATTTTTCAGCTGTTTATTGGCTTCCTTGCTTTTTTCCCCAAATGTTAAAGACATCACCGTATTTGAACAGTTGCAGGAAAAATAAAACGCCTAGTATAAAACTAGTAATGGAGCTAATTCCTGAACATTCTCCGTGTCCCTGGCTTCTCAAAAATATATTCTTGAATGGAATCACTTTCTAATCTTTGGTTAAATTGTTTTAATGGCTTTTCATGTTCTTGGCTTTTTTAAAATATAGTCTTAAATGTTAATGAGGATTWTTTTATGCGTGTTAGTTTACAATTTTTTAACTTTCTTTATATCGACAAGATCTTCAATTTTTTTATATAAGTAATATTGTTGTGTGTTTTTTTATTTCTATCGTAACAAAACTCTAACCCCAATTTTTAATCGTAAAAAAATCAATACTTTTAGATGGATTTTATAAATCGTTTATTTCATTCATTTCGTCTCATTGTTTATAAAGTAAAAACTATTAATTGCAAAGCAAGAACAAAGTCTCGAAAAAATCAACACTGATTAAGGATGAATTTGAGAGCTATTGAATTCGATTCTCTTTGCCTAAATTAATATCATCTAAAAATGATAAATAAACACATCAGGCTATGAAAACGCCAATTAAGGATTATCCGCGAAGAATGATTGAATAAAATATTCCAATCCTCAAAATATTCTCTTTTTACCTTTTACTTTGGAAACGTCATTGAAATCTTTCCGATAATTGCTATTTCTTTTTCGTTAGCTTTTGTATTTTGGGATTTTTTAGGCATGTGTTTTCAGACAACGCTTCACCAACATTTTCTTCGTACCCTATATATTTTGGAAAGCTGAAAACCAAACTTTGAGTTAGGAACTCTGTCACTGAAAAAAATGTCGTTTAGATCTCTAGCTATATAAAGTAATAGATGGGAGAGTTTTTAGATAGTTAAATTTCTCTTTACTGTTACTAGGTATGTTCATACATTGAACAGACAAGGTCGCTAAATGGTTTTCTCTTCAACTAACTTCCTTCAGTCTTTCCCGTTTAAAATGAAGACTTTTATGACTGTTTTGTTAGATTAAATTTAGAGCACGACCGTCCAACAGCACTTCTTTCTCTTCAATATTATGCTAGCGATTTTATACCTTTATCTCTTGTAAAGATTCGTTAAAATTTTTTATCAAATAAGATTATGTACGGCTCAGTTTAGAGTTTTAGCGCAGAGAATTGAGCATTTTTTGTACCTTGTTTTACAACTAAATCATAACGAATGTGTTATATGTTTATCATAATGTTATTCTCTTTTATTTTCTTGTTTGTGTTTAAAGTAAATACGCTATTCTTTCAGTTTTATTACGCGTGAATTACAATAAGTTCCCAAGATTGGCGTAAAAAAAAACATTACTTTCACGATTCTCCAAAACTGCTGTTCTCCCATCACTAAAGAAATCATTTTCACGAGAATCAGAAATTCGTCAACTAATTATAATAAAAACAAACTCTGTTTAATCTGCATTCTTTTTCTATTCATTGTAGGTGACAATTGAATTCTGCAGTGCTATAAGTACAAACTTTCGCGGGTTTAAGTGCTATGGCTAATATGAGTTGTGTTTTGTACAAGGAACACTTGACATTACATTACACGGGTCGTGAAAGCCATTACCATAAACAAGAGCGTTATTTCCTGTGTAATTTTTTCCTGCAGGTGCTAAAAGAACTCTTCGTTTGGCTTCCAATATAACAGCAAAAACTCTAAAAAGAAAATCGTTTCTGACATCCAACCTGAAAATGATGAAATTTGACGATTGAGAAAATCATTTTCAATTGCTTAATTAGGGACTTCCCCATCTATAATCATAACGGCTATAAATGCAGTTGGGCTTCTGCCTATTTTATGTCTATTGGTCGTTAATTATTTTTTTAATGTTAAACTTAATTGTTTGGCTCGTTTTGGGCGCGATAAGCTAATATTTCAACCGATACATTATAAACAGGTATTTCATAAATGATACTCTATTACCGTCCATTCCAGCAATTGTTACATTTGATAGGCTATCGATGTCTTAATGTTTTTTAAGTCAGTTTCGTTGAGTTTTGACACTTTAAGGGTTTCTTGGGTCGTCTACTTTAAACTATTGCGTTAAATAGTCTAAACTCTCGTTTTTAACAGGTTTATCGGTTTAGAAAAACGAATTTTCTTAGTGGAATCAATCGAGCAGTTAAAAGGACACTAAACTGGCTTCCCATCAAAAACACCTGTCAGGTATCAGCCAATCAAGGGAGCGCCCGTTCACATAGCTAGTCCATTATTCGCTATCGCTTGTTTCAAGCCTACTATATCAATTAATGTTTGTCATGACAATCCATCAATCACCGGTTTACGCTTGGTCGCCTTGATGTCAGACACATCAAATCTAAAGTAAACTCGAGTTTATTAGTGCTAACTTATTGGGGGCCTTCAAAAACATTCAGTTATCGATAGATTGCCAGTCAGTGCATGCGGTAAAGCTTAACTATTGCTTAAGAAAACCACGACTCGGATCAGAGTGTTCAGCTACCTTCATAGAACATGGATCACCACCATCCTTGTTACACTGTTCACCCCTACGTGGACTTGAAGCCTTTTGGGATTTCAGCATACCCTCCGTATTCTACTGCMGCAGTTTCAGCAGCCAAGTCCCCTACAGCCCCCCTACGTGTTCCGGCCGTTAAACCAAGTATTCCTCACTCGATTGATAGCATACTAAGCCGAGCAGAGGAGAAATCACCATCACCATCGCCATCACCTTCACCTCCTGCAGTACGGATACGACCTTTCTGTGTACCTGGTCGTAACTTCGAGTACGGGCCCTCGATGCCATTATACTGGCCCGGCCTTGTCCATCCATCGTGGAGAGAGCGTTTTACAGGTACTTACTAAAATAATAACTTGCACTTTGATCTAGGGCTAATAGAACGATGCAATCTAATTATGTGATTAAAAGGAGGATCATTCACAAATTCATCGCATGAATTTATCGTACACACAACCTTAATTAGCACTAACCATCCTCAAATCTTTTGTTTGCCCCAATGCCTATTTTAATAACACTTACGGAACGATCCTCTTTACTTATGGTGTTCAGTAAGGCGTGCACTAGTGTTTCAGAAAACTTACCAGTTAGTTTCAAAAGCGCCCAATTCCAGGATGTTTTGTAAAAGCGCCTTCTTTGCGCGCTGCCAAAATTCGACCAAAAAGAAACATTTGGTTTGGAGATTGACATGTTCATCCGTGGCTTAGTTTCGTGTTGTGGTTGAATCATTTTGTAATTGTCCCTTCTCGACATGTGTAACAGTCAACGCTTGGCTCTTATCGTTGCAAGAGTAGTCCTGGAATAAGATAATTCTCAAGAGAAGATATAATGCTTGAAATAGGGACAATTTCTTAGCCGTAACTAGGTTTAATGATTGGCCAATTTCATGATATTACTTGTATACTCGTTAAGTATTTTCTAATGCAAACATGTCGTAGAAACGCGCAATTGCCGATTACTATAATCCATGACAGGCCAGCGTTAATAAGCCCTTTAGCAATAGAAACCGAAATTATATCCAATCTTGCTTCCTTTTAAACATTGGGACGCGTTCTACAAATGTTTTTCTAGCGAACAAAAGAGAGAGGATATGAAATCGGGGCTTAAGAATCGAGGCTTAGTTGATTGGAATCATTTGTCGAAAAATTGGACGAACGTCGGTAAAAGTTGAGGAAGCAAAAAAGCAAGGACGCCAATCCAAAGAGGCCTCTTAATAAAGGTCAACAATCTACGAACAGTCATGATTTTGATCACAAACTATTTCTCTACATCCTCCAGGTCTTTGTTTTCCCTCCTTTCTGAAGGTCAAGAATATGTAAAACACAGCTTACTGAACAATCCAGATTTGTTCAAATTGTGCTAACTTTTGTACTGCGCAAAGTTACGCGTTCATATTGATTTTTTGACCTGGGTTTTGTTAATTTTGTGTTTTTTTATAATTGTGGACTCGGAGAACTTAAGGAGTCAATCATTTTGCATCGCCTATATGAGCTATCGATCATACAGCGGTTTAGTAAAATGTAAAAACAAAAACGGGCTATAAAAAAAAGCAAGACCGCTATCGTTATTGAGCCTTATTGTGTGTTTTACTCAGTGTTTTTTTTGTTTTTTTTGTTCATTAGCGTTGTGTTGTGTTTTGTACTAACAAGAGCTTTTTTCCCCAGCGTCTCCAAGTTGCATGGAAACCGACCGTAATGGCAAGCGTAAGCACACCCGACCAACGTTCAGCGGACATCAGATCTTTGCGCTTGAGAAAACATTTGAACAAACAAAATACCTCGCGGGTCCAGAGCGCGCGAGACTTGCTTACTCTCTCGGCATGACAGAAAGCCAAGTGAAAGTGTGGTTCCAGAACAGAAGAACAAAATGGCGAAAGAGGCACGCTGCAGAGATGAACATAAAGAAAAAGGGACAAGAAGCTGAACATTCTCATCAGGAATCCGAGAATGACGAAGAAGAAGAAGAAGAAGATGAAAGATCTAGAAAGACTCTCTCGCCTTGTCCCAAAGACCTCAAAACAAAGTAGAACACAATTTCTACGATTTCTATACAAACAACGATTCAACGATTACCACCAAGACATTGGTGAAGAACGTTGAGCCCTAGCTCATCTTAAGGCCCAAAGCACCACTGAAATTCGAAAAATAAACTTTCATTGTACGATAATTATGGACGCTAATTGAAAGCAATACAATTCAATTAGTGCAGTCGCATGGGATCTACTCGCTACGACCACCTATTTAATTTTAGTTTTTAAAAAAATCTAGAACTGCGCAACCTCTTTTTTCTCTCTCCTGTTGGACGTTCTCTTGTATATAATATTCTATTGTAAATAGTCGCTATCCTCAAACGGCAAGTTTAATAATGTTATTATTTATTAAGATAGAAGTCAACTTCTTGCCAAAAAAAAGCAACAAACCTTCAACTCATTTATTTGTCATAGTTTTCGGTTTCTGAACTGTCTAAGACTTTCAAGACTCAGCTTTATTCACCACTTTATTCGATGTATTTAACTATAAAACACTTTGAATCCTTTGAAAACCCTCGTAAATTAAACAACTCATTAAAACTAATAAATACGCCAGCGTTTTGGAAAATAATTAAGTTTTCGGTCAATTCAATTCGCACTTAATGTGCGAAGCTATGAAACATTAAAGGTCTTTTGCCAGGGCACCCGTCGCTAATGAATACACTAACTCCACTATCAAGCAGGTCTTACTGATATGCTATTGATGTTGTGTAGTGTTTAGTAATGGCAAGCGATTAATATCGGGCTTGTGTCCAAGGACCTGATATCATACCTTAGAAGAGAGAGAGCGGTTTTTAATTGCAGGAATTATGAGAAATTCTCACACACGAAAGCAAGGGTGTGTTCCTTCGAGAACCCTTAAATTTCTTACCGGTTTTATATTTTCTGGAAGCATTTATTTCATTGTTAACTTTAGACCCGCTTTGGTTGTCATTTCTTTGTTAAAAACCTCATTGAACCAACCTTTTTGAACATATACATCTTTGAAAAGGTTAGCGCTTCTGTTTATTTTTTTCTATTTATTTCTGACAAAAAAATAATAGAATAATGATGATATCATTCCTCACTCGCGGGAATAAAAATATTGAAGCGCGGACCATTATGCGTCTAACTGTTCATTTTCGGGTCGCGATCGAGCTAGCGCGTTCTGTTACAAGCGAAAAAAGGACGACATTTGATACTGTGGAGATTCTAAGGTACTCTCTAATTATAATCATTATCATCAGTAACACATACATATGAGACAAAGAAATCAATCTTCTTGCTTATTCGCGTCAAAGTTACAACAAAGAGTCCTAAGGTTAGCAGACAATTGGGATTCTATTTGATGAAGTATAGCAGTTGTCTTGTGGTCATTTCTAAACTTTAGTTCTAGCGACAATCGCTTTTCTATACCAATATTTTACAAGAAACCGCAGTCGTCTTTTCCAGCCAGCCACACAAAAAATTCGTACCCCAAACTGTTTTCTCTGTTTGCTCATCCTCTAAATTGACATATCATATTTCTGCTGTTTTATTAGGACTTTCCATTATAGAGTATTTGCTAAGAAATTTGACGTTTCGTTGTCAGGGAAGACTTGGCCGCATGCAATTCTGGAAAAGTTTTGGTGCTTTTTGTTTGTAAAGGAGGAAAAAAAACTGATCTTGGTTTGGAAATGTGCCTTTGTTCGTAAGCAAAATATTATCCTACAGTCTTATTTGATGAAGAAAAAAGATTTGTTACCGAAAAAAATATTGATCAGGTTGAAGCTGATTATGTGCTCCGGCCTCATAGAAAAACATTGATGGCAAAATTCTTTCTCTTTTTTTTTTCTATAAATCTCTTCATCAACTGATCACGGTGTTAGTCAACTTTAGGTGAAAATATGTGCCCACAGTTAATTACAAGAAAAGGCAACGATAGTATTAAGCAGGCTTGAAGACAACGCCAATAGAATAATGCGCAGAGCTAGAAAATATACCAAAAAAATAGCGAGTACTCAGTTAAATTTAGAATTGGTCTCGATTCTACGGCTAAAGAGAATAAAATGTTAAGGTTGAACAAATGAGTGATGTCCACCGTTTGCYGAGCTATGGTGTCAGAAGACCTCAGTATTAGGTTCTTCGTACATCTATCCCACCTCCCTGATGTATGTGCCTGTGTGTGTGTGTGTGTGAGAGAGAGTTTTAGTGCGGCTTGCTGTCATCCCGAAGCAATTGTTGGGTCAGTAGACGCATTCTAGTGTACCTTAGTATTTCATCGTAACGTGAGCTAAATTTCTATTAACTAAATATGGAGGCATGATATATGGAGGCATGATTTGAAAAAGATGAAAAATATTTAACATTGATAATGAATAATTGGAGCCAATAGGCTTATAATTTGGGAACGTTTTATCTAAATTACGATTCCTTTAAGTGTGTAAAAATTCCAAAAAAAGTACTACCAAAAAGCTATCGCGTTTAGTCCAAAAAGATTGAGATGCTCAGTTGAGTAAGATTTCGGTCTCTAGTGATCGCAAACTGCGCGCAAGCTGTCGAGACGTTCGCCGAGAAGTTAATTAGCGAGAAGGCAAGTTGTCCAGCTTTGAAGACTCGTGTCATCCCATTGCCATATTTAGGACATATTGGGAAAACTGCTATCTCGTTAATCTCTGAAGAGCTTCTCTTATGCACTCGTATATCAGACAATATCTCTATGGAAATCTCACAAGGCTTCTGCTACGTGATTTATTAAACACTCCCCTAAGACCTATCAGTCTATTGGAGCTAATTGTAATCTATTTGTTATAAGAATGTAGATCTAGAGGTCTCTTGGAATGACACTCCACAAACGAACGCCCACTGCCCTGTTTGTACTTTCTGTCCCTTTTATCGTAGAATTAAGAGTTTCCGTTTATTCTGAATGCTTTCACCCATCGTTTCCGCCAATCCATTTTGGACAATGTAGAAGCAACACGTGTCAGAGGACTATAACACGTTTACTAGTATTTTTGCATTTTTCTATGTACAGATTTGCCAGACAGCTCATTCCACAGTGCCAGCCCAACACATGGAGACCACACAACCCATTGGGCGTGGAATTCCGAAGATTTCAGTTCAAATATTGTTACAGATTTGCAATCTAATTTATAAATTCACCAAGATCTTTTCTTCCTTTAACAAAGTTAGCTCAGCATTGTTGATTTTGAACGCTCATTAAAATCCTCATTGGATTAGGACAAGCCTTGTTTCATTGACAGTTTGTCGACACAGGGAAAACTGACACTGCTTTAATAACAAACAGTACAAAGCCGGGTCTTAGGGTAACTATAGCTTTATAAGAATCCAACCTAGTCATTCTCTCACAACCATGAATTTTGCAGTCGAAAAACAGAAGTTTAGCATTCATGTTACAATAATTTCGATTTTCCATTTAGTAAAGTTTAGAAAGCAAAGCAAATACATCCTATCATAAGTGGTAAAGAGTTGACAAAAATAAGTAACTATTTTTCTCGCTTGCGCGACGCAGCAATGGCGATACTTACGACGTATAATTTTGCATGCCTCTTCATGAAACTAATTTGAAATGTTAGTAGCTTTTCAAAGTTTGATCAATTTGTTTGCGCATGCGTTATTGCTTTAGATAGTAACATCATTGTCACCGCGCTCACACGTTTTATCCTTGCGCAACTGTGTTACAACCACATTATTATAATAGTCTATTTATAGTGATATAATTCGATATACACGCACTTGATTTGGCGTTTAAACTCTTACTAAACGCGCGGTCATTAAGTGCGTTCTTAAGTTAGTCAATAGCCTTCTATTTTGTACGTAAGCGCGCACATTGTAATCACAAGGATTACCTCTCATCTATTTATAAGCGCATTATTTTGGGAGGCTGGTTGACCCTGCGCTTTGACAAGCACGACCCAAAAACAGGAAATCACAATCCGGCCGTCACTGGCGAGTCAATAAGTGTATATACATCTTATTTTTGATTTCGTTTTAATCGGGGTTCATGGAGAACGGCCGGAAATACTTCCATCGTAAAGAAGCCTTGCGTCAATACTATCTAGCTAGGCTTATGAGGACTGTCCACTCTGGCACGCAAGACATTTGTGATGGAATTCATTGATGATTCTCTATTCAGTTCTATCCTTCCTCTGTGATTTAAGAACTTCAATAGCCACTTTATGATGCACGTTTGCCCTTGGAAGTGAACATTAAACGGATTCAATCAAAAGTTTATACGTCGCTATTGTTTACGTTTTCAAATTATCATCATCAACAATTAATACCCCTTACTTAACACGGTTGGATTTCTGCTAAGCCTCGTGATTTCCTTTCCAAATTATCAAGACAGTGTTCATGTAGGGGTAATACTTAATACACAAATGTTAATCCCAGCTAAGGAATGATATAATTGCCCCGGGGGTCTTCTTTAACCTTGAGCGTTTGTTACTCCATTTAATCGAGCTTAATTGAAAAGCCAGATTAACTGTCTTTGTATTTGCCAACTCCTTTCTTTGTTCGGCGTGCTAGGATAACTAGGGTTTATTCCAATACAAATTACTCCAGGGATGAGACGACGTTATTGATAAATTGGCCACTGTTTGCTTTTGGGCCGTGCTTGGTTACAGACGTCAGTCAATCTGGAAGTCTATCGAAATCAAAAGACCACTGGAACCTGTCCGCATTAGACAACCACATGTTCTAGTGAAAACCCCATGCCGTGAACTACGCGATATAGACCACCAAACAAAGGTTTTTACCTTGACAAGAGTCACAGCTTAAAAAATTCCGATTGGATTCAGTTTGCTTAACAACTTTGACCGTGTTTGACTAAACAACTAAAGAAAAAGTACATTAATTGACTGAAGCTAAAATAGAATTTACAGTACTTTTTGTTTCAGCAGCTGAAGCCGTTCGTTATGCCTCTTTTTCACAAAATTTTTCTTTCAGAAGTAAAAGAAATTGAAGTATAAGAATCTTGATTTAACATTGTCTAAAATTGGGTATAAATTTGAGTATTGTACTTTTGTTGTCTAAATTAAAAACAAATAGAGAAGGCCCACTAAAGATAGATATATGATACTACAAAAGAAAAAGGGCTTGTTTTGTTTGGTGTACGAGTTTTCTGATAACGAAAACCAACAGCCAATCTTGAATCAAGAGCAAACGACTTCACATCAGTTCTTGGTTTGCAGATTGATTGCAGACTGAAAAACAAATAGTAGTGACACAGAAAGATGAGACCGGTCTGGGATTAAAACTAATGTAAATCATTTAAAAACCCAATAGGGACACGCTAATCCCGTCGTTACTGATAATAATTGGATAATGCATTGTTATTGGGGCTTTTGTTATGAGGAAGATTGTTTCGGACATAATTCGGGGTCAACCTTGGCCTGGAATACACTGAGAAAAATAGTTGAATAGCGCTTAATGTGCTATCATATATCCGTTGAATATTATTAAGCACCGTGGCTGAAACCTAATCCTCTTGCCGATTAAACGTCTTCCTGTCTTAGCTYATAAATAACGTGTGGTTCACTTTAGATGATAGACTGATAGGCGCAAGTACTGAAGGCTTTGTACTTCGTTTGAATCATTGCGACACTGAAGCGCGCGCGCAAGTAAACGAAAGACTCTCTTCAAATGGCAGCCATGTTGGAGAAAACATAGGCAGAGTATGTCCACTAATGAAGTGCTTTGAACGCGTTGAAAGAAGTTGAGAGAGGGGAATCCGAATATTGCCAGCGCCATATGAAACTCAATATTTCACACACGGAAGCCAATTTGGACAACTTTGGTACATTAATTACAATAGCGCATTCACGCATGCCTCACTCGTTCGTGCGCTTTTACAGACGATGTGACGTCGACTTATGACAAGACCGTCAGTATGGTTGCGCACTATGGCGTTTCAAAGGCCAAATAAACTAGTTCATCTTAGGTAGATATCCTCCTAGGGTTTTAAGCGCAAGTGGGGGGTTTAAAGGTTAAATAGTCAGGCGTGAAATGGTTAATAATGTGAGAAGGACTATAATTGTGTTATAATACAGCCATGATACACCTGTGTGCATGCGTACAAAAGCCTACAAGGTGTTCCTTTTTAAGGGCGCAAGGCTTTCTTTTGTTTCATAAAGATGTCTCACGCGTTGCTCTTAGAGATAGGTTAACAGCTGGCTTGCAGTGCCTGAGATACTCGCGCATAAGAATTCCTTAGTGTTCACGGAGGCGGATACGCGATGCATCGGTATACTCAATCACCCAACCCTCAATCTCATCTCCCACGCAGAACATTTGTCGACCAATCTATACCATCTATATCCCACACGTGATATATCAGATACATTAGCTTCTCCCTCCCCCCCCCCCCAAACACACTTGCTGAAATGACACTCGCACTTCTTTTAGACGGTGTACACATCAGACACTATCTATTAACGCAATTATACATTGATTCATTACAAAAAATATATTATCACGGGTGGAGTGCCGTCTTTAAATACTTGAATGCACCATCAAAGTTGAATTATCTGATTGGTGCATCTTGCCTGTCCTCCAAAGGTTTATCTCAGGATTACCCGGTTGTCTCTCTTATGTATAGTTTTCTCTTTCTTGAAGCGCGCAATGCACATTTTGACCTTTGCGCAACACTTCTCTGACTTTTGCTCAGTTGATGCGTTATATAAAACGGAGTGTGTGCGCGCAAATATATGCGACAATTTATTTCGCCTGATTTTTTTCTTGGGATTTTTATGAGTCGATAGTTCCTTTAAATTTGAATTTTTTACACTAATCGACAATAGGACTTTAATAACTGATGCACTTTTTTGTAGACTCATACCGTATTCATCCATCCATCCATTTATCTCTCTCGTCCTGTCAAAGACATATTCATTAGAGAATTTTAGATTTACGTTCACGGCAAACGTGAAACGTCAGTTGACCAGTAAAAAATTATTTTAAATGACTGGAAAAAAAAATCGCAAAAAAGTCCAAGCCGTTTGAGGGGAGAGAAAAAAAGTCAATCTAAAACTCTCTATTAACTCCTATTCTCCCGCGCGCTTTATAACTTTGATGAATTAGAGTAACCGATCAGTTTTTCCCTCTCTTAAAATAGCTCTTTTGAAAAGGAAGTCTTCATTTATCTGATCGATCTCTTAACCCGTAATATGTCAAGTCCTTCGAATCAAATAAAAACCATTATAGTTAATCTAACACCGATAAACCAGGACATTTCTAATGTAATGCTGTCCATGGTAAACAAGATATCACGGGAACAGTACGTATTGACTATAATCTTAAATCAAAGCTCTTTCAAAGTCGTTCGACAGTGAAAATCGATAAGAATCGATTTTCAAATATCGCGATCTAGTTAAGGATCTTTCAGCCGGACATTCGTGGCTTGTTTATCAGATTTTTTGGAAGGTACAAACCATTTAGTAAGCGTATATCAGACATTATTTCCGGGTCATAAAACGCCCTGTCGAAACACGAACAAATCMCACTTCATTTCACGCGAAAAAACGCGGATCGCGTTTGCGGAATTGATTGGCTCTGATGATTAAGGGGACCACTGAAAGCTGTGCCAAAATAAAAGGATTTACTTTTTTTTTTTTTTTAAACGGAGGTTTTTGCTCTCTTCAGTTTTATGTTAAAATGAAATCAAAATTACGCACGTATCGTTTTTATTTCTTGTCGTCTTTTTTGTCGGCGGGAGGAGTTAGTGGATTTTTTCCTATCAAACCAAGGCGACTGTGCAGGGGTCACAACACATAATCAAACTCCACCAGTGGAGTAATATGTGTAGTGTGTACGAAATTATATCTACGGCATCTTGACTCTTAAATGGCTTCTGGAATCAAGCCTTGTGATTGGATAGCTTACCATTTTGGTGCTTTTGATTGGTCTAGAGCGGAAACTATTTCAGAGCCACAAACAGAGCATTTGGAACGTTTCTCATTGAAATGATTAGGGGGGGAAAGGTCTTCCCTCCTGTTTTCTGTTCCCCATATATTATATGTCGTACAAGAATTCTTTTCGTAGTTCCTATCGGTTATACTTATTCAGGCATACCAATATCTTGCGAGAATCCGTAGAAGATTTTGCAGCGTTATGTCCTGGCTAAACAAAGAAAGATGTTTCTAGAAACTTGCCGTTTTTGCGCGCGCATGCTTCTTCGATGTTTTCCAGTTTAGCGACGTGCGAAACATTTGACGCGTTACAAATTTATGGTTTCATTGGCGCATGGAAGAGTGTTAAGTTACACTTTTTCCCCAATATTTTCTGACCGATTAGCGACCTTTGGAAAAAATCAACAAAACATGGTTATGAAACCACGTTTTCTCGTTTAGCCAGGGTTTTAGAGGTATCAATGAAAAAGTACTAACTATACACTCGTGACCGTTCAGGAGCTAATACGGATTACATTCTCTTTCTCGATAGCTCTCGATCGTTTATCGACTTGACGCTCTTACCTCACTAGTCTTTATTTGCTTTGGCATTGTCTGTTTATATACTTTGTTAATGGATGGAAGTAATTGCTTTCCAAGTACACCAACCAATACTCGGGGGCTTTTAACGTCTGCTTCATACCAGCTGAACTAACAGTTTTACTGATACCCAAGTTACCACGATCTGTCAATTAAACAAAATCCATACAAAATTGACTTTTCTTTTATTGTACGGTTGGATGTGTTCATCCGAATCAATTTAAAGCATTTGTGTTTGATTGTATTTTGTTTTTGGCATCTTCATAGCTAGCTATAGTTTGGATTTATATATTTGACTATCAGATGTAACTTGTGTTTTCATATTTTAAGTTGGTTTTGGAAATGCAATAATAAAAGATAGATCAAAAAATAAATTAGTAAAGTTGTTTTGGTAAAAATTCAAAAATAGCCAGTATACAAAAGAGGCGATCAATAGTACTATAGTACTATATAGTACTATACGGCAGCCATGTTGTGAAACATTGCGCAAGAATTTCTCCCCAATGGCAATTCTTAAAGGAGAAAAAAATTTATCAATCGTGGTCTTAAAATCAGTCCTCTGACTGACGTCACACGTCACAATCTGAATGTCCAAATAAGTGCCTTGAAACTTTGAACCTTGAATTTGGACCCTTTTTGGAAAGTATCAACACATTTGAATAAATCTCAAGTCTTTCTGGAATCTTTTTYTTCTTTTTTCTAGAAGCATTTGTCTTAAATGAATTATTCTAACCTCCCTTCCTCCCTAATAAATTTCTAAATTTCTTTCGGTTGAATTTTTTTTCAAGTTTACACACACAAAAACTAGATTTCCTTTTTAACAGCTATTTTTCAAATCCTTTCTTTAGTCTTTCTTCTAAGACTGATTCAGTAAAACGATAGGACTTCTCGCTAACACTTACTTACTCATCAAGGTTCGTACCTAACGGACAGAGAGACTCTATTTATCTTGCTTACAATAAGCTCTAGAATTTATATCTCTTAATCTAAATTCTAGTTATAATCCTGAGAATCACTTAAAACGCTGTAGTTTGTATTACTTGTCTTCCGTAATCTTTTAGCAGGAGAAACAATAAAAAATACATGTGGCTCACATGGAGAGAAAAACCCCTGATAAGAAATGTAAACAAACGCATACAAAATGTCAACAGTGTTTCAACACTCTACCTTTCAAAACGAACAGACAACAGGTGGAATTTAATCGAGGATTAAAGCCCTTTAAGTAGTTAAGTCTACTTTATATAAAAAGAAATTTTTATGCGACTTCATGTAATTGAGAAACGCACGGCGCCACGACTTTTAAATGGTTTCCGCTTCTTAACCAATCAGAAAGCACTAATGATACAAGACAACCAATCATATTGCTTGAACTATCGTGGAAGCCATTACAGAGTTTTCTATAGTGATCGTGCTTTTAAAATGGTTTTCGAGGAAGCTATTTTAGTGTTTTGCAGTGTTTCTCTAAAAATATACTTAATATTTTATAAGCGAGAAGCTTACCAGTAGTAATGAAACGTTTTTTTTAGTGGAAAATAAAACCTGTGAGACTCTGTTAAACCTGTTAAATTCCGAAGAGCAAAAATGCACGGCCTTCATCTTCTGGCAAATTTTGCGCTAGCGGCTCCGTGTCTTTTTCTACACTCGATCAAAAACTAACATCATTTGCGGTAATACTTTGTTTCCAAATTATAAATAGGACTCAAATATAGTATTTTTAATTCGAAGTCTGACTAAACAATTTGTAAGAAGTGGGAAACGTATGGTAGCGTGTCTAACTGTGAAAGAGCTTTCGTTCTCATTTGATTGGGTGGAGCATTCTTTCATTTTTGATTAGTTCAGGATGACATGCAAGGCATTTGCATCATAACCATATAATACTAGAAGATACCTCCCATGACTTCTGCCCTACAGGGCTAAGGAAAAAAATCTGTTTAATTGAGTCTAGTGGTTGGCTGCTGTTTCATTAGTAGAGACAAACTGTCTCTTTAAGGCATTCTGGAAATAGTCTAAAAGCATTGTTATCACTCAAATACTACTTACTCGTAACCGTTAGTTTCGTCTTTCTATCAGCTTATTCCTAAAGTTAAACCCCGGCTGAATAACTTACTTCTTACTTGTTAAAGTCGTATTTTATTTTTAAAAAGGCTTTTAGAATTGTGGTTCAGTGGAATCTTTTATAATCGACCTCTATTTCGCGATCGAAAGTCCCGATTGATAAACTACTTTGTATCGAAAAGATAGCGGAATAATTTACTTGACCCTAATTAAAGCCCTGTTGTTATCGACCAATCAGACGACCAACCTTCAAAACTGGGGTCGCGATACTAAAATTAAACCGAACACCGGACACCCGTCCATAGTGGGGCAGTGCCCGACCACAAATATACTGATATCTCTGTCCGATTTACGAGATAGGTTGGAAGCCTGTGCTCACTTGAGTTGGAAGCCGAAGAGACTTGAGGCTATAAACTAGAACTAAAAAAAGAAAACACAAAGTTTCCCCATTCATTAAAAGAATTCTGTGATCGTGGCGCATGCGCCATGGCAATCGGGGTCAGTCAAATGGTTAAAACCGCACACGGCCGTCTTCGAGAAAAATCTTGAAATTGTTAGCATTATTGTTCAATCACTGTGTAGTATCGAATTGAATCAATTAGAACCGCATTAGAGGCTGGAGTTCTCGACTGTTTAATGTAACGACTAGATTTACAAATACCACCAAACAAAAGCTTACAATACGCAAGTGATTATCGCCGCGTCGGTCATGTCTCTCCCACGTTTTTTAACTTTACCGCTAATTGTTAAAGTTCTTTCATGTCATACTAAAAGCCTAGATTTCTAAAGAACTCCAGCGCGACGACAGGTCTGAGGAGGGCTATTTTCAGCAGGTTAGCTTGGACATGGAAACGGGACTCTGTTACAAGAAGAATGTAGAATGATCAATGGTTAAAGAATCGTTAAATGGACGCACTGAACTGATAGACAAAGTCTTGTTTACTTATTTATCACAAAACCAATATCTTTGATCTGAGCTGTTAAAACACCAGAAAGATTCACAAGTGGCAATCACTTAAGCCGTTTTATCTCCATTTCTTACACTTCTCATTTTTTTCATTTATTTACTCTTCATTAACATGGGAAACATAATTTTGTCGATCATTCTGTTATATCACCAATATCCCGATAAGTATCAAAAGCTTGAGAACCCGAACATTTGTCACCGTACTTGGGAATACATTTGTCAGTATTCAGCTTGGACATGCAGTCTTTGTACTTTTGAGTTCACTTTTTTTGACCCAGCTACCGAGTTTAAAATGCTTTGCGATGCAAGCCTTTATGATAAATTAGATTCTTTTTCTGTACCTCAGGGCAGAAATAGAAGCTGCTGTACCAAATATGCGAGGATCGGATGGCAAAGGCGACTTGTACGCACAGGAAAGAAGCATATTTTTAGTTCCATAACTTGTTAGTTTCTGTTGAAAGAGAATTCTTTTTTCTCTTTCTTTTTTGTTTTACAACTATACCTTGCGCTTCGATTCATGTTATTCCGGTTTTCGGATATATGAATCACATAGAACTGCATCTTTTTATAGCATCACAATCAATATACTTATTCTTTTATAGTACAGATCGGTGACCGTAACTATGACCCCTTGTCTATCAACTCCTATCGACCACGGATAATAACTAAATACAGTTAATTCCCATAATTTGGCTTCCTCAATCAACTACACCTCCCATCCCATTGCTTCTAAGATTACAGTTCCTTTCTATAAACGATTCTCGTCTGAGAACATAAGGTTGGTTGAAATCGGTCCAGTAGGAACCGAAAGGCATACTAAAGGCATTCCCCGCCCTAGTGGTGGAAGGGAATCATCGTGAGATAAGACCAATTAATGCAATGTCTACCAAGGACATTAACTAGTGATGACTTAACCATCTGTGCGCCGAAAACACAAACAAACACGTTTAACGGAGTCAGAAGTCAGTCAAGATGGAAGCAATTAAGTAACTCGGACTGCTGTCTTAATCGGTTTTGGCCCATTTAAAACGTTTTCACAGCATGACCAAGTTACCAAGACACTGTGAACTCTCTGAACACGACTTCTCAATTCAAGTGCATCTGCACTTATTCGACTCCAGTATAGTATAGTACTTGAGCTTTTTAGGAGTACAAATCTCGAGCACTCACGATGGGGATGAGAATTCGGCATTAAAGCGTAGAGTAAACAACAATTAGGCTAATAATTTCAGCGAATAAACGTGGTCATACCGAGGGCTGTTTTTGATTGTCGTCCGATCGAAAGATATCAATGTAATCTGGCTATCCTTTCGATTGCTTATCGAAATCTTGGCAGAAACTTCGTTGCTCGTTGCAAGATATATCTAAGACAATGAGTAGTAAATAGATGTTGAAGTCCTTAAAATTCACAGATTCAAACATTCCAAAAAATATAATAAAAAACACACGGTTTGTGATTGACTAAATCGCGCGCGAGTTAACGTGTATGCGCATGCGTTCTGTTGACACGCTTAGTACTTTCAAAAACTCGGGAAGCTGTTTCCAAGAGATAAAGTATCAACCAACTCCGTATAAATTAATAATAATTTTATAGGGTTTTAAATCCACAATTCAGGTCTTAATGCGTAGTTCTAGCTTTTAATTGTGAACATTTTAATCTTCAGTGATTGTTTAAGAAATCTTCAATAAACAATTAACTCGTCTTTGTGAATTTCTTCCCAAATTTTTCAGATGACACGAATGTTTTCGGATTTTGTTCAGATAAATTCTCGTAATCTTAAAAGCAGTTTGAACATATTGATAATTAGCGAGCTTCTCAGTGATTCTTTTTCTCTGAATGTCAAGCTATTAGAAAACGCTGAGAATTGTGTGGACATAAAGGGTCGTCTCCTTCCGTCCTGAGGACAAAACTTCTCCCAAAAGCCCTTCAATCCTAGTAGTTTACATCCGACGTGAAATCATATTCCTACCGCTCCATTAAATCGCCTCTTCAATTTTACGACAGGCACGTTTGCCAAGCTGAAAAGACTAAATTGCACTCCTCAAGGAGTTCGATCAATGAGGCCCTGAGACTTGAGAAATTCCACTTGTGTTATCGGAGTCAAATAACCATATCTTTTTCTATTGAAGGCCGGAAACTATTGAACCAAAAGAACTTAAATCAAAATCATCCATATCTTGATAAAATTACTATGATAAAAACTGAGGGAGGTTTCAAACCAACTTGCTGAAGTTTTAGTATAAGTCTTTGTTCAAAGCAACACTTCTCTTTTTTCGAAACTAAAAAAATCATTCCTTTTATATTCCCTTAATTATTTAAGTCATCGGGTTTTTAGCCGGCTTAAAAGTCGGTATAGGGTCTTTTAATTTTGTGTGTTCAAAGCAAGCGCTTAACTACAGGGAGCCTTTGAAGGTCTTCTATTGGACGTGTATCCCATTAAAACAGGTCAAAACTCCTTAGGCTCRAAGCAAGGTCAGAATACCAATACCTTTCTAGTCGAGTTGGAATGACATAGTAATAACTGAAAGCCTAGATTTCCAGTCGGGAGTCGGGAATCTGCGTGTCTACAATCCTAAAAAACCTCCCTGGGTGCATAAATAATATACGATTTTATTTCACTCAATAACTAGTCCAATATGTTAGAGATGATTACCGCACAACACCATATAAGAAAATTGAGAATTTGACTGTTCAGAAATGGAACATTTTGAATAAGATTTCGCGAATCTTTTTTTTTTTTTAGTGATTTAGACTGAGAAGTAAGAAAGAATTAGTATTTGGTAGAAGTTTCCAGAAAAATGGCAATGCGCAACTTTATGGTTAAGAATTAAATTACTCGTCGCGGCCGGGTCATCTTCTCTATCTTTCAGTCTTTCTGAATCGTGATTTTTAAATGATTTTGGAGTTTGAATTTTGAAAAGCTTTAACATTGCGGTAATTGATGGTGTTTTCCCAAGTTTTTTTTATCGAAAACAATCAGAAGAAAAATGAGTTATGAAAAGTTGTGCATTATGGTACCTTGTGTTACTTTAGTTTCACTTTCATCAATAATTAAATACAGCCATCAACGTTTTGATTTTAATTACTTTGATAATTAGATCTGGTACGATCAGAGGATCACGGTGTTATCACGAGCTAATTGACTCCAACATCTCTATCAAGTATCACCATGAAATTATGCGCTGTTGCTCGACAAGTTAACCTACTCGCTGCAGGGGAAGGAAACTTAGGCTTTTGTACATTAGTTTGTGAGGATTCTCTGAATCGGGTGAGATATGGGTGGCCTGGGTGCTTAAAAAACAAACGCTCGGTCAAAGGCGGGATGGATTTCGAACCCATCAATGTCTGAAATCTTTGTGAACAATCTGTGAAAACAGTTAAGCGGTAATTTGGCTCTCATTTGGGAACTAAGCGCTTGATAGCGAGTTTTCACACTTTTGATTCCCCAGCCCAAACAGAAACAAAATGACTAAGAATTATCGAAGTGTATCTATAGTTGAGGTGCTTAGCTTGTTGGTTTCTGAAATAATCCAGACTAAGGGTCCAGATACAGTACCATACGTTTTTACAATATCATTTGAGCTGAAATCAGACTCGGAATACCGAACATTTATGAAATTCAATTACCGGTTTAGAAATCAATTGGTAGTTGATCGCGATAATTCTGTTCTTGGCAGTCTCAAGCTAATGGATTTAGCATTGCGCTGGCTTCTCTTAATGCAAGTGAGGGCCCTTAAACAACAATTAGAAATTGTGACAAAAGCTTGCAACCAAGAGGCCATGTCATGGATGGGATTTCGCGGGTCCCATAGCGCATAGTAAAGCATTAGACTGTGTCGACTCCACCGACCTCAAATCCGCAACAAACGGAATGAAAAAACACATTAAACGCAGAAACAACAATCTCTGGAAGTGATAAATGCTCAGAGCGTACCGCCACAAGCGAGAGCTAATTCCATTTACATTACACACGGATAAATACTACGAGCGTCCTAGTTACAATTAACGCTTGTAAAGTTCACAGGCAGGCTTAACACAGGGACAATTTGTCGATAGAAAACCCTTGAGCTTGTGCGCAAGGCAACAGATATGGACGAAGTTTCGCCATTAGACAGAAACCAACGCTGAGAGATATCGCTGTAAATCTTTAGCTAAACAGCATTTATGATAACCAAGTAGATACAGGTTTCGACTCGCGGAAAGCGACTTTTTAAATAGTGCCGCTAAATCCTACGGTCGAGTGATAGGAGTGCCATTATCGAGAATTAAGGATGCTCGACTTTTCTCGCAAGAGAGAGGATTTATAGAAGGAGTCATTCGGTCTTAATTCACAATATAATCTAGTGTTTGTAGTCTGAAGGGGGGAGGATTCGATTTGGTCTTGCCAAAGGTACGCGCATAGACTGAAATTAATAGAATCAAATTAGTGAAATATCCTTGAGCGCGATAATTTTTAATGCTGTTAGATTTCGTTATCACGTAAAATATTCCATTTGAATTAGTGATGTGAACGGGAATATTTCTCCGTACGATTGCGCATCAATCAATTTCTCTCAATCGCTTAATCAAGAGTCAAGCGCAGTGTTGAGAGCCCACGAGACGCCGAGAGCAGATTCATGTTGGTCCATAAGTGTTTCCACAAAACTCAAGTCACAGTGAATGCAAGGTGGTGCAAATGGGTCTTATTCGATGCGTGTGTGAGTCATATTAAGAGATTCGGATCACCGCTAGCGGTTTATTAAACAACTTATGCCAGCTATTAATAAACGTCTACTTTTCGAGAAATAAGAATTGATCTGCAGGTATAATTAAGGTCGCTTAGGAGATATTTTGAAGCCTTTAGGTGGAAATATTTCAGCTGAACCTTCGAAGGGGAAGCCAAAGTTGAATCAAGGAACAAAACAAATGAGAGATACAAAGAGTGTAGATTGATCACACACAAAAAGAACGAGGTCACCCAGAAAAACCACTTAAGTGAAATCTAAAGTCCATTTGACAACCGTGTCTGAGATCTCCCGTTTTGAACACCCCACAAATCTATAAACGATTTGAAGACAGAAACACCTCAATGTTTCGTTCACAAGCTTTTATTTTAACATCAACAGATTTGGTTTCTTGGAGCTTTAAGAACGCGCTAAAGCAAAAACTAATGCTACGGATTATTGCGTGCTCGAGTGGGTCATAATCAAGATCATATATTAGGCCTTAAGGCAACTGCCACTGAACTCAAAACGGCTCAATTAAAGACATGAGACGCGATTGTCCTCCAGGCTACTAAATTAAATATCAGAAAACACAAATCTAGTTCATGTCAATAAAACTTTCTCTTTCAACTTTCCCTGATCCAGGAAGTCGTGGTTATGTGAGAGAGCTGAAACTGCTCGAGTTGTTTAGAGATGTTTGATGATGTTTCTCCATAGGATCTCGCTTCTATTGTTCTCTGGTTAAAAGTGATAAATAATCATTGTAATCCTGCCTAAAGCGAGAGACTGCCTTTGTTTAAAGCTGATACGATTGCTTTAAACATAACTCCTATAGCTTTTATCGTCTAAGAACCAACTGTTCTAACATTTTTGTGAATTATTTTGTAGACTAGGTTTAGAAACAAGCTGTTAAATAAATTTATTTGTCGTATGGCACGGCACATCAAGTCACATCTTTGGCAAGTCAATGTCTTGCTTCCATATGACAGTGTATGGCTAATCCAGTCGAATCGCCAACCCCTTAGAACTCCGCTTACATATGATTCCTACTCTAAGATTGTTTTGTTGGTTAATTTGAAATCAATTTACGGCCAAAAGAAAGTAGAGTACTAATGTTTCACACTATGTTGCGTTTCCGCTGTTAACCCATTTACAAACACAGATCTCTTTACCGACACTGATCGATGGTCAAGTCTCTTCACRAGTGCTTTTGTACAAAAATATCTCAAATGCAACAAAGACTTTTCATACTAACTTTCCTCTACTCCGAAGAAACATCTTCTTCCTCTTCCATATTCTTTTCGTTGGAAGGATTTTGACCGTCGGGAGAATTCGCTCTACTGTCTGAGCCGCTTTCATCCATGGACTCGTGTGACAGTTCAATGTTGTTTCCCGTGGACACATTTGAGTCATTCTCCACCARTTTCTCTTGCTTTTTCCATTTAGTCCTTCTATTCTGAAACCAAATTTTCACCTGAGTTTCCGTAACGTTCAACAGTGCAGCCATATCGCTGCGTTCGTTCGCCGTCAAGTACTTTTTCGCGTCGAATTGTTTCTCTAGTTCGAATATCTGCCGGCCAGTGAAAGTCGTCCGAGCTTTCTTTTTCTTCTTACTAGTTTTACTGTTATCTTTATCTATTTTACCCTTGACAACGCGTTTCTGGTTCTTCGAGTGAGAGCCTTGAGTCTTTATCGAGGTGTCTGAGAGAGAATACACAGGATAATTATTTAGTACCTCTTAAAACCACAAAATGTTCGAGTAATTTACAGCCATTACTATCGCGAGCCATTAACTTCTCTTTGTGTGTACTTACTTACCTTTATCGCTATCAGAGAGCTGTGATTGAGCCTCTGATTTTTTAACCCGACTTGTGGTCTCTTTGGTTTCGTTATTCGGTAAATTCGAGTCTAGCCCGTTGGACTCGGCCAGCGCCGTCTTGGATTTAGAACTTCTTGTTGTAAATACTGGCATGTGAGTAGCGTCTAGGCCGAGAATAGTGGCTACAAAATACGGGGTCGGCTGTTTTGGTGGAGTGTCGTAGATATGAGCATGCCAAGTGCCAAGAGAAGCCATTCTCACTAGTCCTCGCATAGATTTGAAGGACTTTATGACCTGGTACGCATCACACTGTGAGATAGACTGATGAACAGTGCGAGCGCTTCGACGTTCAAATCGAAACAATTGCGGCAACGCTGAGCTGCCTTGAGCTCGACCTGACAGCACAAGTTGGGGCTGATGGGAAAGCAGTCCATCTGATCATGCCGCCTTCCTATGACATATTACATAAATCAATAACGTGATTTCATTGTCGATAAGGGTAATTAGCAAGATTTGCTGACAAACGCGCAGAGCCTCCAAAAATCCAAACCTCGTCCCTGATTGGAGCGAGAGCCCATGAACCAGTGGTATGATTGGTTAACCAATGCATTTGGCCCCACAGGCCATTTAGGACAATCTTGATCACTAATTTGGGTAATTTCTATGTCAATCAAGGGGTCCCGCCGAGGCCACGAAGGCCTTAATAGTCTTGTTCAAGGATTCTTCTTTGAGGACCTATTAACAGATGCTTAAATGGAGAAAGCGGAAGTTATGGGTTGAACATTGGCCGCGTATCTCAGCGATTCAGGTTTTGTATTGGTTTACAGTCACGAATAACTCTAAAGTCTCTTCGAATTAGCGAACACGGTGGCAAACGATTAAATAAGGGTTACATCTGAAATCCGCGCCGACTAAATTTGATGACAGCATGAGGGAGTAATACCTTTCTCTAACTCGCGACCGTCACGATTATTTTGACTAACCCTTTCTGGAATCAAGAAAGAATTTCAATTTTATAAATAAAAGGCCATTGACGACGATTCTGGGTTGGTTTTATTGCGATGTTTTGTACTATGCTGTTTTTTCATTCATTCAAAGGCAGCTGTCTTGCGTATTTTGACTATTAAAAGTAACTATCAATAGTTTTGACCGCAAAACAGTCACACTATGAAATGTCCATTGTAATGACTCAATCTATATAAAATAGATCAACTCAAAAGCGCTGTTAAGTTCGGCTATCAAAATCACCCCTCTTATGTAATTTAATCTTATTGAAATTTCAATGTCCTCGATTCGATCAAGGCTATCCGAAGTTTGAATTGACAATGAACGAGAGATATTGGCAATACACAGTGACGTTGTGTGCGTAATTCATAAGCCACAGCGAGACGTGTACTTCCCGTTATTTCACAGTATTTTAGAGCTGTGCGATATCAAGCCATTCAAAATGGAAAACCTATGCACCGCAAACTTGTCACTCGCCAAGAAGCACCCAATTGAATCCCCAGCATGATAAGCTTTAATCCAAACGCATGGAACTTGAGCTTCAATGAATGACAGCTTACAAATACGTCTTTAATGTGACCCTTTTTTGTTCTGACCACTCCACTTGTTTAATTGTTTCTTACTGCCAAAATGCTATGCTGTAATACCTTTAGCGCGTCCAGTTGTCGGTACTTATTCCATTAAGCATATAGATTGAAAATTACGAAGAAAAGATCTTATCTGACTCTTGGCTCAATAAACATTCTCTACTTAATTCCTTTCCTGACAAAAGAAGCCCTTCTATTGCAACGATATCGAGAGTGCAACGGGTTCAAGAACCTAGAAGTAGTTGATAATCAACACAAAATGAAAGACACGTCGAGGAAGTCGAGTAGTGTTTTTACTTTCACTGCGATCCAGTGTCTCAGCTTTAACAATTAAACTATCAAAGTGATCGAGGTGTTCTTGATGGGATCATGTTGGCCTAACGCCGATGCACTTGTAAATGGTTGGTAGCGCACAGAACAAAGACCGCTCTAGTTGTCGTGTTTATTTGAGCTCCTCAAGAGAAAGAGAAAAAAAGACCGTCTATTGCCCCGGGTCACATCTTGATGATTTAGTACTAAAGACCTCCTTATGGATTGAAAAAGCCCCGTTTGATCGCAAAAAATGTTGAAGTTTTAACTCAGAGATTGTACTTCACTTGATAAAGAAACTCTTTAAGCCCCCCTTGTGTGAAGCTTAATACGATTAGTCCAAAACAGATACATCGACTTGGTTTAATTAGCGCGCCAAAAGTGTGTTACATTGAGGGTGATCGATTTTCGCTATCTACACGACTCGACGGGTTGTCTTCCTTTGTTCTTGCCCAACCAAGATAACGCCAAACATTTGTAAAAAGCCGAACAGAAAATACATCAAGATATATGCCTCTGAATCTATCAGAAAACAAAATCCACTGATCTGATTTTCGAGATTCCCTAGCAGAAAATCTTAAAGTTTGACCCAATTATTTCATCGTTGTGAGAAAACAATCAATTATCGCCAAGAAAAATCGACAAATTCACTATTAATGTCTTTTGATAATGGATCTCTGAAAGAAAAAAGGCCGGAAAGGTAATTTTGAATGATTAAATGTTTAGGCGAGTCTTAGCCCATACACTTGGATGTTTTCGGCATTGATCGGTCATTCATTCTCAGGGTGTTTTGATCTTTTAAAGTCATAATATTCTATTATAGCGCATAAAAACAAATTCCGTACTGACTAATTAAATAAGGAGTTGTGACACGTTGTGGTATTTTGGCGCTAATTTCCTCGCGATTCTGATTAAACTTAATTGTTCGTGTTTCCATCTTTATCGACATGGCTAAAAAGGGGAATCAATTGAAATCTTCTGGATGACTAAAACTAGAGAATTGGCCAAAAGAAAAAAGAAAAAGAAAGAAAGAAAGGTTTAGAAAGATGGTGAAAAAATGCCCGGATTTGACTCTCAGTTCTTGCCTGCTGACACGAGCTTTTTAAAAATTTTTTGACACTTCGAATCGAAACCAAAAAGGTTTAACATTGTTTTTGTGATCGGTGACATAAGGGATAAAATCCGGATCAGTGCTAAAGCGCAAAGGCATTAGTTCTCGACCAAAACACCTCTTCAGCATCCACATGGAGATTACTCTGTCAGACAGCCCACAACCACTGGGTCTTCTTGTTTGTTTTGTTACGGGTTTAGAAGTAAGAAAAATCAATAAAATCACAATGCTCAAGTCAATGGGGTTTGCCAGTTGATTAATGGAATACAGTTTGTGTGCCTTATTAACAAATACCATTTACCATTCAATTAATGAGAAGATTAATCAATGAATCTAATAATTGCGTTGGCTATCACGCAGGATTGAGGTCATATTGTGATTAACATGATGACAATTCAGCCCGATAACAAAATTCAATTAACATTACAGATTGACAAATAATTGATTACGGATTTGTATTACGTTTAGTCAGGTCTAGTTCACTTCTTTTCTCGCATACTTGAAGCATTTTTCTCTCTCTCTGATGCGACTCGGCGCGATCAAAAGACACGAACCGGTTTCTTTGAGTCTATCAGTAATATCTAGATAAATGCTCAACCTTAAAACTTATCTTGATAATTCTCGCTGACTTGTAAAACAAATCTGACGCACATTAGTTGTTTTGAGAACAGATTTCAAGATCATTCACTTTACATTAATTGTAAAGAAAAGAAGATATGAAGTTTTTTTCTACCTGGAAGCCATTTCAAAGTAACTGCGCCCTTGGCACTTGGCTTCCCGATGCTGTATTACAAGTTTTATTTCACAGTTGCTAAAAAAATCAACAACAGCTCTCTTTCAGCCGTAATTAGCAAACATTGCTTTCTGTCACAACTTCTTATTTCAGTTTTCTAACAAATTTTAGAAACAGCATTTTGAATGAAAATGTCATGTTAGATATGACCTCGCCAAAACGAAAGTGCTCCGTCAAATAGTCTCAAAGTTCCTTCAGAAAGAGTTGCCAAAGGGTTTATCGTGATTAATTATGAATAATCATTTTTAATCCATTGTACTCTGTACTTGATATGATTTAATAGTATGGACATAAACACTCGTTTGCTAAATTGTTTGAAGTAAGTTCCTCGAGGTTGCGCGCGCATTCTAGTTTGCTGGACCATATGATCAGAACTGCTGCTAGATTATGCTCATTATATATCTTACGATGAAACCTATAATGGTTGTTATTTCATTTCTAACTGATCTCTAGTGACTCTAGGTCCATTAATAATTGAATGTACAGCTTTTCACAAAACCGAAATACATATGATGTAGATATAAAAACAATGATAATGATATAACAATAGTAATAATGATAATGATAATAATAGTATAATAATAATGTTAATAATAATAATATAATAACAGTCATAATGATAATAATAATAATAATAATATTATAATAATAATATAATAATAATAATAATAGTAATATAAGAGTAATTTAAATTTAGTTCCCAACAAGATTTTTTTCTTTTGTAAAAACACCCGAGTCTAATGGACATTTAAAATTTAGGAATAAAGTGGTAGCTCTATTGAAGGTGGTTGCCATAGTAGTATTGGTTGCTATGGTGATGATAATGGTAACCAACTGATCGTGATAATGAACGAAGCCTATGAATTGAGCGATTTATTTCATTTCTAAACAATATAAGGTTATAAAAACACATCTGGAAGTCTTTGACCCGGAATAGCGTGAGGTACTATCAATTCAATCTAAATCCTTTTACAGCTATTTTAAAAAAGGTTGAATACTGAATACTACATACTGAATAGTGCATTCCAAGACCAAAGGGCATTGTGGTCTCGTGAACTCGAAACAAAAAGTAAATATACAGCAATTAACTCTCTACATGTAGTTAGTATATTGTTTATGTTTCAAAACGAAAAAGGAGAAATTATCGTAAATGTATCATATAGACCCTGATCAGTTATATTCAAGTTGAAACTGAATGGGGCTTTCTATAAGTCAAGGAGAGGAATTTTTGTAAATATCTACTACACGTTTCGTGCTTATCGTTCGGTTTGCTGCTTACCCTCTTACTTCCTACGACAACTAAGGTGCTTGGATTTCAACTTGGGCTTCCTGTAATCGTCTTTAGTATCTGATCAGTTTTTCTTTCAGCATATCATATACAACGAGGACGGTTTACTCAAAGAATATTCACAAGGAAAAAGGGTCCGAGCCAGCAGTTGAAAAATTGCGAACGACGGGTAACAAATTACAGACAATAAACCGAATAGAAAGTGATGAGCCAACGTGTGATGAATCTGACGCAAGCATCCTTTCAGCGATAAACCACAAGAACCGAAACACGACCGAAGAAACGTGAGCTGAGCACATACGTTCTTAGCTTGGTTTTATGTTTCGTTAGGAGAATTTTAGTTCCATGTAGCTATAAAGGGAACTGAAGCTTGATCTGCAAGCTAATTAGTAATTAGCACACTGACATGGCTACCTTTGCTTATTTCGTTTTGCCGACAATTATCTTAATTTAAAACTAGTTCGAAACTGTCYGAAACTGTCCCAAGTTATAGTTTTTATTTTAAAGAAGAACTGACCATCTCCCTGCTTTATGCTTTCGCTTAAGATCAAGTCAAGAAAGGAAGAGCTAAGAGGGTTAGTTTCGTGTAAGAGAAACGAATGTTCTTAAAAGGGAGGGCCGAAAAAAAAAGTTGGTATCAAATTGTTTCCAAAAGTCGAGTTTGACAGAGTTGAGTCTGGGAATAGGGGGTATCAGATAATCTCTATTCCATCTACATACGTATCTATTTATAGATCTATCTTTATTTTCAAGCATGTTAAATTAAGTAAGCTATAATGTGTTTCCAACGCCAGAGGATTACTCTCCTGGTTCATTTCATTTCCGTCTTCATATCGTGTGTAAAATTCTGATAGCATTTCTTTGGATGTCTCAGGGGCATGGCATTGTTTTGGCTTTTTTAATTAATCTGTATTTTCTCCAATTTTCTCTCTCTCTCAGCTCTATGTATTTATAGTTGTGTTACATGTTAATTCTATCTACTTTATTTATTTATTAGCTTTTACCACGAGGGCAGGGACACCACTATAGCTTTTTGCCAATTACAGTGGGCCCTGTAGAATTTAGCACGGGCACCGAAGATGGTCGTCACGGCGTCTTCAGTGGGTCTTTTACGTAGGCCTTATATGGGGGGGTTATATAGTGAAGACAGACAGGGCCTACGGTTTTAAGTCCATGTCCGAGAAGATCTGAAGGTCTAACGATTTGCAGATGTAATTACAAAGGCAGCACCTTCTCCTCAGTTATTTTAAGACCCTAAGTGCTGGTCCGGCCGAGGCTTGAACCACGACCGTCCGCACAACAGACCGACGCTCTTACCAACTGAGCTAACCGGGTGGCGGTTAAACTTTGATCCTGCCCAGTCTTCGCGCGATGACAAAGTGTCCAATATCACGGCCTTGTCAATCAAGGGTACACAGCAAGCTCAGTTCTAACAATCTAGGACTAACTGCACGTCATCCAACATGGCGGCCCTAATTGCTGTGAATTCTTGAGGTGCACGTGACGTCATCGCCGCTATTTTGGTTGACTTTTTGACAAAACATTTCATGTCTATTTTTCATGTCAAATAACATGACGGCCACGTTTTTTGAGCTTCTTTTCTTCGAGGGAAGGAAGGGACCTCTGGTTACTTGGTACAATCACTATTCCGGGAGGTTACTTCTAATACGGAGGATCATAATCAGTAATTATAAATACAAATTTTATCCTATTCATATTCAACTCTACTATATCATATCACCTTCTGCTTACTTCAATTAGTAATTTGCCAAAAAAAGGTTCCTGTACAATGTCTGATGCTGCCTAATTATTTAGTTTTAACTGAGCAATATATATTTAGGTTGCTGTCTTTGCTCATTTTTTATGGCTATTTTGGTTCGTTGGTTATCAACAAATACTTCCACACTTTAAGGCTTAACATTTATTGTTTCTTCAGTCAATAATGCATAAAATTCAATAACAATGTCTTTATTTACTCCTTCTGCTCATTGACGTTTAAATTTTAAGATCTTTCACTCCAGAAAGAATTTTTCCTATTCCTTTAATTGCTGGATTTGYGTCATTGGATGGTTAAATATAACTCTCTCTTACGTGCAAGCGTTTTTTATTTCACTCATCAAAAGCCAACGAAGTCATCTCTTGCTGTCGTATCATCTATAATAGTCACTGATGAAGATATGTTGGTCAATAATACATCCTAATCACCTATTGTAGCGGTTTGGCTGCGTCTTTTGAAAAGGCATCTTTTGAACACTGCAGTTGTTGATTGGCTAAGTTCATCTTCTTTCAGAATACAAGAATTAGTTGTGCTCTCAAATAATTCTTGTTAAATTTTAGATTTCCTCTTAATGTTATTCTATTTTTTTTCCCAGAAAATGGCTAGGTCTTGGATGCTGTGAAATATCGCGAACAGTTTTTTTTAATGAGATTATTTAACAAACAGCATCCTACCTTGACACCAATCAACATATTTTTAACATTGCAATTTATCTGTAGTATTATGGCATTGATGGACACCCTGAATCATTTAGTTCTTTTTGCGTTATTCCCTCGGGTGTTATAAATACACGAAGTTGTCGCCTTTTCTCCAAAAACTGAAGCCTACGAAATAGTCAGCTTTAAAATTTGTTTTACGAGAATTCATTTTCAAGCTTACTGCATGATTATAAATTGTTYTTAGAAGACTAAAAGTCGTTCTTTTTGGTAGGACTTTTGGTTTATTAATAGTTCTTGTTTCCCCTTGACGTCAGCCTACATGAGAGCGTCGGATTGTTCATTTGCATTTTAATGGCTTTAACAACAGGGATTAGTGAAGTTTTCTTAACGTTGAATTTGATTAGCAATTGAGCATTGAGTGGCAATTACGTTAATGTAAGGACTTAGTGTTTCGCTAAACAATAAACAATGAAGATCCTGGTTTGAGTCTTTCAGGAGTCCTTTGGTTGGTTGATCGTATGATACGTTCATTTTGTATAAGACCCATTTGACAGACAAGTTGTTTCATTATCGACCAACTTTGGCAAAAGTTGGCGTCATTTTGGTGATCTTTAGTCAAAATGGAAAACGGTAATATTTCGAACGAGAATCTTGTTCCTCGATTTCCAACACCACCTCTCGAGTCTGAGAACAAGCCATCAGACCCAAAACCAAGTAGAAAAACCTCTTTTCTGATAGAGAACTTAGTTGCCGAGAAGGCGTCTGTTACGGAGCATGGAATTCGTAAAACCGTCAAGAGAAAGTATGAGTTCTTGGAAGAAAAAGATGAGAAGGAGAACTTGAAAGAATTTTCTGTACTAAAGGATGTACAGGATAATCCTAATGGTTAGTGTGCAGATGGTTTTCAACCTTTTTTACAATATTTATTCTTTAGAAAACTCTTTCCGGGGTCAAGGAATTTGTGTCTATGGAAATGTTTAACTGGACGGTACAACTGATGGTACGGCTTATCGAGGGAGGTGGTTTTTCTGTTCTCTGTGTGAGAAAAATACATATTTTTAGTAACTTGCTTTGGTAAAAGTTCATATCCAAAACTGCCATTTGTCTTTGAATCATATTTTACCTTACTACAGTAAAAAGTTCTAGATATATAAGAAAGATATTTTTTTCTAATGTTATTTAATTGGTAATGTCACATTTAAAGTTTCGTAAAATATAGGGAAAGGTATATTATCAAGCATTAGTTGCAGTTCTGCCATGGTATGAGTCTTTAAAAAAATGCTTCCTATTCTCTACCATGTTTACTAATTTGATTCAGGCTACTGATTGTTTATTTCAAAATCATTTAGATTTAGAACTTGAAGCCTAGAAGTATTGCCGTTTATTATGAAGAAAGAAATCGACTACAGCTCTGACTCTTTTTAAAAAAGGAATGCTTATGATTTTAAGACTATTATCTTTCTTCAATAATCCATTCGTTTCTTCGATTACATTTGAAAAATACACTGGACTAAAATCTTGGTAATAATGGTCTTCAGAATTTTGTTTCATGAGTCATTTTGCGCAAGATAACTTCTTTTCCATTGTTTATCAAATATCTATTGTCGAAGTTTTCCGTTAGTTATGCGTAAAAACTTCCTTCCGATAACGTTTCTTTATCATAAAAGTGATTAGCACTAACACCTACAAATGATAAACTGTATTCTTATTACTGCACCGATGGTCGATCGATGGGGCAACTTTTATAGCTAAACTGTATTCTTATTACTGCACCGATGGTCGATCGATGGGGCAACTTTTATAGCTTCGTCTAAAATTCCGGCGCGTATTTTATCCATCTCAGACATCATTCATTATTAAGGATGATAATTGTTACTGTATGCCTTGCTATGGATTGTTGACTTCATTGAACAAGGGCACAATGATGTTTCTGTAAGGTATTCATTATATTCAGACACCAAAGGCTCTCGAAGCGTGACTCTGTTCCATGGGCGTGGATTTTATACACAAGACCAAGTCACTCAACGATCCCTCTTTGCTATGATTTTCAATAGCGCAATCGTTATCAGAGGTTATCATGGGTGAAAACATTTTCAAAGGCAGAGTTTTGCTTGAACACATTCCAGTGTTTAGGAAATCTATTATTACGTTCATCAACTTATTTTGAGACTATTTTGTGAATACCGAATACTTAAAAAACTTAAGCTTAAAACTAATATTTTATAACTATCTCTCCCCGTAAGGTGCCCTTCGGTACTTCATATAGTATGAGTTACACAATACAAAATTAAAGGTACTTCCTATTAAACGACTAACTTGTGCAGTGCTTGGTAATTATATTTGAACCAAGTTTGTCTGACCTAAAATTTGCTCCGCGTAAAACTCTTTTTCGTTGTAAATATAAAACCAACGTTTTAGAAAATGTTGTTGTAGCGGTACGTGATTCCAAAACTGGGCAGGGAACATATCATCATTGACACAATTGTTATGCTCAAAGCAGTATTGTTATGTATACAAATACTATAGTTACTACTCTGAGTTAATTTCCCTTTGACGTCATTACCGCCATCTTGCATGGATGATCAGAATTTAACAAACTGAAAGTAATCGTTTTTAATTATCATAGTTAGCTTATAAGGGTTTTTCCAGTCAAAGTTGCACAAGACTGCGAATAGTTTCGAAAAAAAATTGCGAAAAAGGCTTCGTTTTGTTACTGAAAATTTGTACTTGTTCTTAAATTCTACGATAACTTTTACTTCAAATCGTAATGCAATACAATTTTCTTCCTTTAGAGATCAAAATGTCTGCTGGAGAATTGTTACTGCTGAATAAAAAGCCAAGAACATCGTTCTCCACAGAGCAAATTCGTGAGTTGGAAAAACGATTCGAAACACAAAAGTATTTAGGAACTAAAGAGCGAGCGGAACTAGCAATCTCCTTAGACCTCACCGACACACAGATCAAGACCTGGTTCCAAAACAGACGAATGAAGCTCAAGAGATACTACCAAGCTTCGATGGAGTCTTCGATCGAGAAGTTCCCATCTTTCAACTCAGCATCTGGTTTTGGCTTTGGCATACCACATGCTCTACCTTCCGCCCCAATATTGTATCCTCCAATGTATCCTGGTTACCAGTCCTTGCTTGCACCTTTCTTAGGAGGTGATCCTACGGGAGCGTACTTCTCAAGGCCTCGAATTCTAACCGATGTTGATCATCCTTCTCAAGCCTCTTCTATGGTCCACCCACCACTAGAAAATAGGTCACCATGGAGCTATGCACCATTATTGGCTCCTTATTATGAAGTGCCAATGTATGCATATCCATAACGTCCCATAGTTGGGGTCTATCATTATTAAGTCTACTCTAGGGCTACATGAGAGGGTTTTCATTGCCCAGACATTCGCTTTAGACAAGTTTAACTTGCAGGGTTATATCTAATTAACTTAGCTAAACTAACAAAAGTCGTATTTCCTATCGAGACGCTCCTCTCTATTTACTTCCGTACGCATGCTTGACACCGTAGTTGCTTTAGCTTTTTACGAATTACCTAATTTATTGTATTATCTATCTTTTTAACGCTTTTAGATAATTGTTTATGAAGTAGATTGCCAAGTTTGTGCAAAATACATGCTAAAAATGTTGAAACCAGCCGAAACTGCTTGAAGCCATTTGGACCACAGGTAGCCCAAGCTGAGTGTTTTAACGAGGTTCACTCAGTGTGTGAACAATCTGAAACCCAAATATAATATAATATCCTAAATAAATTTGTTAAAGTCTTTCAAAAATCCGCATTCCATATTCTATCTACCAAATACTGGGTTACCTCTCATTGCATGATAAATTCTGAGAAGTTCACTAATTATATAGACTTCTGTAACATTAGATATTTTTTGACATTTCTTATCATTCATTAATAAATACATTTTAAAAACGCATTTGCGTGTGCTAAAGGTTCTTCATTTGTAGTATAAACAATATTTAATAAAAAATCTTTTTAGAAAAGTTATTTGACATGCGCAAACTGCATACTAAGTATGGAAACAATGTCTCTAATTTGATTGGCTTGGTTGGTTGGTACCTTTGCCTCCGCCATTCTGTTCTTGAATAATTTTATTGCTGCTGTAAAAAGTATGCAGAGCGAGAAAATTGTAGAAGTTTTTAAATGAAAATCTAAAATAACATGTTGAAAGACAAACACTGGACACCAAGAGTCAAGAATGATGATAGAAAATCCCTTTGAAAAGGTATTACAGCAAAGTTTATCGAAAACTTTAGAAGTGAAATTGGTTTTGAGTTGAGGTGTGAAGGAATTGTTTGTATTCCAAGAAATTCTATTTACAATTTTGGGCTAAAATTAGCTTTTTCTTAGTGTTTACTGAAAGGGAAAACCTCTGTACTAATAGGAATCAGTCCAAAGGGTAAATTTTTATGTAAATGCTAAAATAAATATCGAAAGATTCCTTCGTTTTAAAGGAATTTGTTGATATTGGCAGATTTTCACATGAGTTCTAGTTGCTCAACTCTAAAACCTCTTCTGGAATTATCGTTTTAAAAACCAATTCTCCAACCGAGGTCTAATCGTTTATAATCACATTTGTGCCTTATATAATTAGGATTTGATGTTTATCTGCTATATAGTCTGAATTTTTCCCAAAATCAGTTTTTCTTTCAGGAAATTGCATACAAAGTAGATTAACTTTCTGGTAATAGAAGAGTTGAATTTCAATTCGAATTCTCGAAATTCTAAAGTCTTTATTAAGATTTTTACTTACCTTAGACTCCAGTGGTATAACTTGATGTAATTCGGAGCTCAGTTTTAAACTCCTTTAGTAAACTGGCCCACATTCAGTCTTGTTTTCAGTATTTTCGGGTTTTAGCCATGAATGGCGAAACAACAACTGCTCAGTTTTCAGTGGGGAAAACGGGAGGGGACTGGGGATGAGAGGGTTGCAAAAAATATATCGAATTGTGTTTTTATGATATCCTGTTTTTTCTTCCGCACTATTATTTTTTCTTTCATAGTGCCCTTTAAACACTTTGTTCTACTAACCTAGGTCATCCCGCGGTATAATAAGCGAAAACCGCAAATACTTGAAGTCAAATGATGGTCCAAGCTACCCATAATATAAGAAAAGATGAAAGGAAAAGGTATTTTTTTATCATCATCATTATCATCATCATCATCATCATTATCATCATCAATATTATCATCATCATCATTATCAACATCATCATCATCATTATCATCATCATCATCATCATTATCATCATCAATATTATCATCATCATCATCATTATCAACATCATCGTCACCATCATCGTCATCATCATCATCATTATTATTTTATTATTATTATTATTATTAACACTATTATTATTAATATATTATTATCATTAATTTTATAATAAATTTTATTTATTGTGATTGTCAAACCGGAGCATGCGCAGAAAATCAACTAAAACTTTAAAACTCCAACTCCATAAATTGTTCATACCCAAGATGACGCAGTTCTGATAGACGCGAGGAGCGTGAGTACTAGTATCTTGCTCACATAAACTCTGGGTACGCACATAAAACATAAGGCATAATTCTAATTTTATATTTAGGTCTCAATAGGTATGTTAAAATTATTGTACTTTGATAAGTCTAGCCGATGTGAATTACTGTGAATGCCATAAACAAATGTGGCAATAAAAATTGATGTAAAAATTAGGTATTAAAAATACAAAAATAGGGGGTCAACATGACTCTTTGTCAACTGATTTTTTTCGTGTTCCAAAAATGCTAATTAAAGTCCAATATCTGTAATGAAAGAGGGTCACCAGTGTTTGATATCCTTGCGGCGTCTCGAAGCTTAAAGTATTAAAGCAGTTTGTACCAAAATATCTTGGTAACAGTATCCAATCAAAACAACATTTCCAAGCGGTACCTAACAATTATTAAATAATCAGTTAATTAGCCTGGTTAACTCTTTAAAAATACATCTAGTCGTATTATACAAGCTTTACTAGCCTAAAGGTTCCAAAGGGAAAGAATTAACCTTTCGTCCTTTGGTTATTTCGGCAGCAATAAATGATTAAAAACCAGCGTGTTGCCCTGTACAGGGCTGAAATACCGTTAATCAGACGTCTACGCCCAGGATTATTAGCAACAATTCGAAACTCGTTCATAAATATGGCGCCAATAATCATTAGTAATGAAGGCTTATGTGTATACGATCACATTTATGATATAAAGGGCTGGCCCTAAAATTGCTGTAGATTAGACAAATTCAATTAGACATGTGAATTGGTTTTAAATCAATTTAACTCATAATAATAAAAGTTTTATAAAGAATTGAAAAATACAAATACAATGGAACAACTGAAAAAAAATCTGCTCACAGTGGCTTCTGCTTCAAATTCGTTATTGAGGAATATTTTAGACATGAGGTGGTCTAATACTGGGACCATCTTGTTTTGATTCTCAAAATAACCATATTCTCACGTTTCCAAATTTATGTTTATGTGAAAGGGATCTATGCTACTAATAGAAGCATTATGGACCATCACCGGCGTCTGTCTAGTGCTTCAAAGGTGCCGAAGCCTTGACCCACCACTGCTGTTTTTGCCGAAAGCGATATTCAATCGACAAGACCSCTGCAACTGAACATAGCTGTGCAGCCATTTCTTGTTATATTACTTAGGTATGCGCAAAGCTCTCACTCTTCAAGTCTTTATTTTGTAAATCTGGTTGGTGTATAATCTGCTACTGACGTTTGATCACTTTAGTGGATTCAGCTGCCAGATTCTTCTTTCTTTGTATAGCGGACGCATCATTTTGTCGATCAATGTTATCTCTTCACTCTGCGATAGCATTTTGAATTATCTCTATGAGTTAAGTTGAATTGATTGGGCTATCAAGAGATTTCACTTCTACTTTCTTCTGTTATCTCACTACACCGACCTACTCGTCTCTTTCCCACCGTTGAAACATTATAAGAGCGCAAGTCATTCTGCGTTTTAAATTATCATATGAGTTAAGTTGAATTGATTGGGCTATCAAGAGATTTCACTTCTACCTTCTTCTGTTATCTCACTACACCGACCTACTCGTCTCTTTCCCACCGCTGAAACATTATAAGAGCGCAAGTCATTCTGCGTTTTAAATTATCATATGAGTTAAGTTGAATTGATCGGGCTATCAAGAGATTTCACTTCTACCTTCTACTGTTATCTCACTACACCGACCCTCTCGTCTCTTACCCACCGGTAAAACATCATAAGGGCGCAAGTCACGGAAAAGGGCTTGATTGATTAGATTTTGAACCAATCTTAAAGAAATCACTGGTATATCTTAATCGAACCCTTTAACATTAGTCATGACGATCGCTTGCAGGGTGCATGTCCGTGACTGATAGTTAAATTAATCAAAGCACAATTTTCTAGAAGAATCAAGCATTTTTTATGATAAACTATTTTTTGTTTCTTACTGATTTGCTATGTATTTTAATGAATATTGCTTTACCCTTGAAAGTTCTTTTCAGTAATTTGAAAGCTTCAGCTCAATTGACACTATGAATTAAATATTTATTTCATAGCTTTGTCAATGGCTTGGTTCATTCTTTCCTTGCACGTATTCAGTTCATTAATTTCTTATAAACAAAATAAGTTAAACATTTCCAAGCATATTAAAAATAGCACTGAACTGAAATAACACATAGAAAGAGCTGACTCAGCCATTCCAGAGGATGAGAGAGGCTGTGTTGTCTTCTAAAAGATTAAAATAAGAAAAGTACGCCCAATAATATTCAAACTCTTCTACAGGTATCTTCTGCTGTAACCTTCTTTTTGGTTAGGTTGTCCTTTGGTGCAGGTTTGGTGAAGGTTTGGTGAAGGTTGCTGTTTTATTTTATATTATTATTATTTTTTAAACTTTTTGAACGCAAACCTGAAACTGATCGTCAATTGCCACTATATTCAGTAAAGATAAGGTAGACGACTCATGAGTGCAAGAGGCGAGCTCCTGTTTCCCAGTCAAATCTTCCTCAGATTATAACTGGTTTGCTGTCATTTTCAACAAATGCATCTATCTGAGAATTTATCATCATGATGTTGTCTTCAGGTGAAAAGATATAAGATGAAAGAAGTATTGTCACAGAACACCTCATGACAGGGCTTCTTTAATAATAACATCACTAAACTGCCTGCTAAGTCGTCAGTTTGTTCATTATCCCATCCCTTCTTTAATAAAAGCGTTTTTTATTAATTTTCATTGAAAAGCCGAATTGGATAAAGGAAACGAAAATAAAATTTATTAGTTCTTTTAAGAAGTTGCGTCGGTGTCCACTGAGCACATTGCTAAACTTTTGAAAACGCTACGAAACGTTCGGTTTTGCAGCACTATGTCAAACTACCATCAAAACCATACGTATATATTTTCCGTTTATACTGCTACCCGCTACTATACTACACGCATTGTTAATGCAAGATTGTATTAAGCAAAAATATGAAAATAACAGTACCAAAACTGAATCCCTTATCCCCAAAAGCCCATGTACTGATATTTATCAAGGTATGCAGGCTAAGGAAGATATCTTTCCATTTCGCAACTCTTTTGTTAAAAGAACTGATGGCAAATAGAAATGGTACAAACATCAAAATCGCTCATCAAATTTTGATCAGCAACACAAAACAAGCATACACTCTTTTAAGTTTTCGTTCTTTTATTTTATCAAGAAGCTACATCAACAACAACAACAACGAAAACAACAACAATCGGTTGGCATATTTAGTAGTCCATCTCATTTAGAGATATATACTTAGCCGGTTTTCTCTGCTTTCGCCTCCAAACTTTTGTCGTCAATCTCTTTTCTTCACAGATTAAGACATGCACTT